TTGCTTATTATGTTGGTTTCTATCATTGCCACTCTCTCTTAGACTATAAACTTCAAGAAAGCAGAGAAGATTTGGGAGAGTTATTTATTTATTTATTTATTTATTTATTTATTTTTGAGACGGAGGTTCGCTCTTGTTACCCAGGCTGGAGTGCAATGGCGCGATCTCGGCTCACTGCAACCTCCGCCTCCTGGGTTCAGGCAATTCTCCTGCCTCAGCCTCCTCAGTAGCTGGGATTACAGGCACGTGCCACCATGCCCAGCTAATGTTTTGTATTTTTAGTAGAGACGGGGTTTCACCATGTTGACCAGGATGGTCTCGATCTCTTGACCTCGTTATCCACCCACCTCGGCCTCCCAAAGTGCTGGGATTACAGGCTTAAAGCCACCGCGCCTGGCCTATTTATTTTGTTTATTGGTGTCCATCAAGCACCTAGAACAGTGCCTGACACATGGCAGCTGATAAATAAATACTTGTTGAGAGAAATAATGGGACAGAGGGAAAGAAGGAAAGGAAAAGGAACACTGCCAGGTATGGGACTACCGCCTGTAGTCCCAGCTACTCAGGAGGCTGAGGCAGGAGAATCGCTTGAGTCCAGGAGTTCTGGGCTATGGGATCCTATGCTTATCCACCCTAAGTTTGGCATCAATATGGCAACCTCCTGGGAGCAGGGGACCATCAGATTTCCTAAACAGGCATGAACTGGCTGGCCCAGGTCAGAAATGGAGCAGGTCAAAAGGCCTGTGCTGACCAGGCGTAGCACTGTTCCTGGGGTCAGCCTGGCACGCCGGGTTGGGCAACACAGCAGGACCTTGTCTCAAAAAAAAAAAAAAAAAAAAAGAAAAGAAAAAATAGAATTCTCAGAAGCAGACTGGAGGTGCTTCTCCTGAAATGAGAGAGTAGCTAGTTGGCTTCTATGCTTCTTCCAAATCTAACAACCTCTGATTTTAAAAACAACCCAAGTCAGGTTTCAAAACACGGCCACCGTAGGGATGAATGAAAAGAAAACTCAGAAGACCGAATTCCCTCACTTGCAACGTGGGAATGTGATGAATGGGTCAAAACTTGTCAAGGATTTGTGAGACTCAAGCGTATAAAACTTGGAAAGCTCCGCTGTACTACGCAGGGGTGGGGGCATTGCACCCTTTCTCACTGTGAGTGTAGATATACCATCTGTGGCCTGAGTCAAGTGTCTCAGCTGCCTCAGGCCAGGCCTGGGTAAGCTCAGCGAACCAAGGCAGAGGACCAGCTTCCTCCATCAGACAGCCCCAAACTCAGCCACAAGGCCCCTCATACGTTTTCTTTTTTTTTTTTTTTCCGAGACGGAGTTTCGCTCTTGTTACCCAGGCTGGAGCGCAATGGTGCGATCTCGGCTCACCGCAACCTCCGCCTCCTGGGTTCAGGCAATTCTCCTGCCTCAGCCTCCTGAGTAGCTGGGATTACAGGCACGCGCCACCATGCCCAGCTAATTTTTTGTAGTTTTAGTAGAGACGGGGTTTCACCATGTTGACCAGGATGGTCTCGATCTCTTGACCTCGTGATCCACCCGCCTCGGCCTCCCAAAGTGCTGGGATTACAGGCTTGAGCCACCGCGCCCGGCCATACGTTTTCATTCATCAGCTCCCCGCAACCCCAGGGACTCCTGGTTTCCCTCCTTGCTTTCTATGCAGCACCAGGGCTTTAACCCTCTTGCAGACTGTGGGCTTCTTATAGACAGGCCTCTGTGAGCATTTTATCCTCACTCCCCCAGAACTGCCAGCGTAGTCAGTACCAGACACTCGTTGACGTCTAAGGGATGCCTTTTCACACCTGAACTAGCCTGAGAGCTTGTGAATCGGCATTGGTGGGAGACACACCCATAATAGAAATCTGCCCCTCGCTCCCTCTTCTGTTACAGCAGGGAAGATCAGAGGCAAATGGGAGCCCTATCTACCTTAAGGGAGCCCACAGTGTAGGGGGTCAAAGAGGTGCATAGGGGAGCTCTTCTGTCTCCAGACAGGCTAGAGGATAAGTGCACAGAGGCCAAGAGCTGGGAATGGCCCCCCTGGGGGTGCAGGATTGACAACGATTTCAATTAATGGAATCTGGATAACCCAGAAGGAGGGATGTGGTAAAACGAGTCGCTGATGAGAAACAGCCAGAGTCCAGCACTGGAGGGCATGGGCACTGGAGGGCATGGGCACTGGAGGGCATAGGCAGTGGTGCTGGCAGGACAGGGAATAAGCGCCTCCATGCTGGGATGGAGGGCCAGGACTCCATTCTGTAAGCAGCAGGGAACTACTGGAAGTTTGCATGACGCGTAGGTGGTTTAGAAGGGTTAATATGGAAGCCTGAGGAAGGTGGACGGTGGGCCAGGAGGTGGGGAGGCTACCGTGTGGGCAGCGATAAAGTGAATGTATGGGAAGGGCACCGGGTGGGCATGGGAGACCCCAGCTCTGGTCTCCCTGGTTAAGCCATTAATTCCAGGTAGGACCCCACATCCCCATTCTGTGGAATGAAGTTCAATGAGATGATCTCTGTGCCGTCTCAGCTCTATGATTTATTTATATAAATGATGTAGCGCTCTTTCCCTGTCTCAAAACTGCTCTTGGAATGCAGAGATGATTTTTCATGTTATTGAAACAACTAGTTCAATTCTTCTGTGACTACAGCAATTACTTTATAGATAATTGCAGAGCTAAATTGGGTGACATTCCCTCAGCTAGGTCAGAAAAGGCAAACATGAGATTTTTTTCACTTTGGTTTTAATACTTTAGGTACGTATTTGTGGTTCACCTGAATGCAAAAACGTTTCATGTTATATACTCCATTATATACATTAAAAAGGTAGTTAACTTAACAATGGAAAACAAGAAACCATAAACATTTGCAAGAGAATAAGCACTGGGGAGATGTTAGAGGGGGTGGAATTTGCCTCTGAGCTTCCCAGCAGCCAGAGCAAAAAGAGAACCTAGCAGGAATTGTAGTTTAGTGGCGTCGTTCATAAGAACAGTTTTCGTTCTTCACAGTGAAGCATTCCATTTCACTAGACACACTCAGGTAGGCTATGAGAATCACAAATAGAGAAATTGAGATGACTGAGCTGGGCTTCAAGGATCTGAGGAGCAATTTTAGGTGGGTGTGGTGGCATACACCTGTGGTCCTAGCTACTCCGGAGGCTGAGGCAGGAGAATCACTTGAACCCAGGAGGCCAAGGTTGCAGTGAGCCAAGATCCTGTCACTGCACTTCAGCCTGGGCAAAAGGGGAAAAACCCCCTCAGAAAAAAAAAAAAAAAAAAAAAAAGAATCTTAGGTGCACAATTAATGTGAAGTTGTTTAACTTTCTTTTGGCTCTTGGATACACAGAGGGGCAGAGGCTATGAGTGATTTGGTGCCTATAAAATGCAAATGAACAGAAGTTTTTTGAATGACAATTCAAAAAGAACTTTCAAAAAGGATGCATTATTTTCTAGTCTGGGGATGGGGACTATGAGAATGCATTTTATCTTATTTTCTACACGGCAAGACCATCAGAAAGATGTCCACGGTAGTGCCACCAACCTCGTTATCTCAAGGGTGTGTGATAACCAGGATAAGGAGGACAGAGTTCTTTTTTTTTTCTTTTTTGAGACGGAGTTTCGCTCTTGTTGCCCAGGCTGGAGTGCAATGGCTCGATCTCGGTTCACTGAAACCTCCGCCTCCTGGGTTCAGGCAATTCTCCTGCCTCAGCCTCCTGAGTAGCTGGGATTACAGGCATGCACCACCATGCCCAGCTGATTTTTTGTATTTTTTTAGTAGAGACGGGGTTTCACTGTGTTGACCAGGATGGTCTCGATCTCTTGACCTCATGATCCACCCACCTCGGCCTCCCAAAGTGCTGGGATTACAGGCGTGAGCCACCGCGCCCGGCCTAGGAGGATGGAGTTCTAAACTCCTGCTTGCCTTTACAAAATGACAAGAGCAGACAAGGATTCGCATGGCCGGTGTCTCCCACCCCTGTCCCTGACAAACCGCGTGGCCTGGCAAGCAAAGCTGTGTCATCTCTGGAGCTGTTTTCTTCTCAGTGAAGCGAAAGGCCTTTTTTTCCCAGCTCACAGCTGAAAATCTGAGATGAATGAAACCCGAGAGAAATAAGCGAGTACAACCTGACACTCAGAAGAGAAATGTTATTTGTACACTTTTAGTTCTGAGAAGCTGCTTACAAGCAAGGGTCTATGTCCCAACAGGTAAACAAACTCTCTGAAACCTCCCTAACACGTAGGTCTTGCTCTGTCCTCTGGAGCCTCCAAGGTTGATCCCATTTCCACAGGGGAACCCAAGTAGCCGACACTACTGTGATAGGAATGGCAAGTAGCGAGCTACACCACCCATAGGGGACCTCCACTGTGACCCCAGGGTCTCTCCTGCACCTGGCACTTGCTCTGGGCTACGTAACTGTCACTTCACAAACTACACTTTGGTGAATCGGGTTGACTTCATCGCAGGGAGGAACCCATTTCCATCTGTCTTCTGCTTACCATGCTTAGCCTGGAGCCTCCACAGATCCTAGGAACGGTTTTTAACAATGAATTATTGGAAGCAAACTATGCTCACTTGAAAATTAGAAGACTGTCTGCCAAAGCGCTATATTTGGACATATGTCACTGAAGCCCAATACAAGTGAGTTAAACAACCCTGTGACTGCTTTGACTTTTCTTTAAAGGGACTGAGCTGAGGTTCCAGCTTAATTCCACTAAGAGACCAACATATACAGAAGTGCTCTGTAAATTGGCAAGTGCTGTGGCTATAAGGCACATTATAATCACTAATACCATCCTCTGTTCTGCGTAACCTTGGAGAATTGCCTTAATTTTCCCAAACCCAGGTCCCTCCACCTCAAGTAGGGACAATGACTCATCCCCCCAACCAGCATTGTACAGGTGTAAAAAGGGCTATGTATGGAAACCAAATTCCTTCTATAAGCTGTGGATTATTTATAGTTGCTCTTTAAGGGACAGAGTATAGTGACATTAAGGGAAAAGTTGAGTTGCATCATTTAATTGCTATTTATTTTCATAAACATGAGGTATTTCAAAGTGCTATAAGATGCAGCACTAAATATATACATTTTGAAGAAATTAAACACAGAACTTTGCATTTACCCAGTTCTATGCACCAAACATGAACAAATACATTAACAGGAAGAAACAGGCTAGGAAAAAAGGCATATATATATAGTAAATTTCTTTACAAAAGTTTCTTAGTTCAAAAAGTGATAAAGTAATATCTACTCAAAACTTTCACAACTCATTTTCATACGAAAATATAAGTATCAAATTTAGTTATGTATCAGCGTCATACTAAAGTATACAGGCAGTGTAAGAATTAGTACAGTACATAACAGAGATTAACAATATATTTGTATACAAAACATGCTCCTCAAACATTGAGGTATTATTACAGTACTTAGGTATGAACTTCCAGTCTAATACTGGCCGCAAAAGCCACCTCTCATTACCCAGGACGTATACAAAAGGCAGATGTGTCAATGGTATTTACAGAAATGTTCCCCAGGGCTATCGGATGGCAAACCCCTTACGTGGCATCTGCTGGAACTTAAGCACCATTTTAAAAGGAAGGAATGACTTTCTGTTGTTTGGAAACTTGGAACACACAAGGTGACTTCGACAGCCGCAGAGGCTCCCAACTGTCACCAACTTTTACCACTGTCATGGAGGTGAGGTGGAGGAGGCCACACGGCCACCCAGCACTCAGGGAGGCAGGCTCTCCGAGGTCCCAGAAGAACCCCACACCGGCGGTCCTGCTCCCCACCCAGAGCCAAACTCAACAGGGGACCGATTTGAAAGTAAACCAACATTCTTAATGTCAACACAATGTTTGTTTTTTTTAAAAAAAAATCAAAATGTGCAAAGTGGCAGTGACTGTCCAGTTTTGAGAAGCGTCTAGCAAGTCCGAGCGTGTTCAATTTTCTTTAGCAACTGCTGCTGTCTTGCCTGCAATTTTTCCTTTTCCAGCAAGAGCTGGTGCTCCTCGGCCTGGAGGGAGTGGACATACTCGGTGGCCTTTTTCAAAATGACCACCTTGGCAGCCTTCTCGTTCTTTACCAGCTCCGGCACGTGGTCCCTGAGCGTGAGAAAGCTGGACCGGAGGTCGTTGCGGCGCTGGCGCTCCAGGATGTTGTGGTTCCTGCGACGCTCACTGTCCTCCGAGTCAGAGTTTCGGGGGCTCAAGCTCTTAGCCTTTGGGGGTATGACACTCTTGAGTGGACGTGGGGACACCTCACTCTTTATCTTCTTCTGGGGCGGTGCATCCTCACTCTCCACGTAGGGTGACGGGGCCGCATAGTTGTGCTGCTGGTGGATGGGAAGGCATCGTTTGAGGATCAGCTCGCTGGACTGAGCCCTCCCGGGACCCAGGGCTGCGTTCTTGGGACGCACGGTGATAGTGAATGTGGTGACAGCCTTGCTGTTGTTGGAGGAGGAACGCCGCTTCTCCACAGTGACCACGTCAATTTCCTCCTCTTCGTCTTCCTCTTCATCATCTTCATCATCTGAGAAAAAGATGGGAGTTACTCTTGTGTGAGAACCACTTGAATGAAATTCACATACATATCCATGCTAATACACAGTGTGCTATTTTTATGGGTCCATCAATATAGATGCGGACAATAATGTATTTGTTTTAGATCTCTTTAAATTCAACATACACACACAGTGGCTCACACTGTAATCTCGGCACTTTGGGGAGGCCCAGATGAGCAGATCACCTGAGGTCAGGAGTTTGAAACCAGCCTGGCCAACATGGTAAAACTCCGCCTCTACTAAAATACAAAAATTTGCTGGGCCTGGTGACGCCATGTTTGCAATCCCAGCTACACAGGAGGCTGAAGGAGAATTGCTTGAACCCAGAAGGCGGATGTACAGTGAGCCTAGATCGCGCCATTGCACTCTAGCCTGGGCAACATGAGCGAAACTGTCTCAAAAAAAAAAAAATAAATAAAAATAGAAATTGTATATGTTATATATACATATCTGTAAATATATTTTCCTTCCCCATATCTTGACTTGTGAGTTCAATTTCCATTCAAGACTTTAGCAGGTAGTAGAAATATAAAAAACTTGGGCTTTAGGGTCAGACAGAACCTTGGCTCCATCGCAGACTAGTTGCATGACCCTGGTCAAGTTACTCAGCCTTTCTAAGCCTCGGCTTCCCCAGCTGTTGAATGGGGATGATACCACCTTGACGGTAATAACGTGGACTGAGCACAGAGCTGCGCCTGGTAGACAGATGCTCCGTAAACGGCGGCTTTATCATCAGCAGCAGTCTGCCCTGTGGCCTTATTTACATTTCTAGCTCCCCACTTAAAGAGTTTTAAGGCTCATTTTGGGAGCCTCATTTAGCAATTTCCACATAGTTGTGTTTGATTTTAAGCCCTTAAGCAAACTTGAAGAAAAATTTAATTAACTGAAGAAAAACAACTTTCCGTCTACAATCCTGCGTTTTATACAGTATGCAGTTTTTCACTTAACAAAGATCAAATCTTAACTCCAAAGCCATAATCCACAGTTGGTATAAACCCCCAAACGGGAGCAGCTCTCCTCAAAGTCACCAGTAATAACAGCAACAACGAAAACGTGTCGCATCATGAGTGCATTTTCCCCCTCTCTCCTCATTGACTACTCGGCTGGGGTAGAAAATTATTGTTTAAAATACAAGCATGAAAATCAAAACACATCTTCTGCTTGATCTGAAGGGGACCGGAAAGCTGAACAATTGTGGGATTTGTTCTAAAGCCGAAATGTGAGGCTGTTCCAGTCTGTGGGTCCCTTTAAGCCAGTGTTTTGGTTTTCTGCCAAGAAGACAGCTGTTGGAAGGAAGTGCTTCCTCACCGAAAGCTGTCAAGGCACAGACATTAAAGGGACAGAGCCGCTGCAAACTGGAGGCTTATCACCAAGTTTTCTTCCAGGAGCCCCAAAGATCTCTCAGCCCACAAGGAAATTGAGGCTTGTTATCCACCTGCTTTCTGAAAACACTGCTTTTCAAAGTCCAGGGGGCGGGGTGGGGGTGGGGGTGGGGGCTGCAGCTCCCCGATCCAAAGACAAGGCCCACTCTTTGGGTAGAGCTCTGTCCGTCCAGACCCCCAGGCAAAGTTTTAACCCTTTCCTTCAGCTTATGACACAGGCAAACTCACACAATAGAACTCATCAGTAAGTCCTCCCAGGGTGCCACTGTCCCTGCAGAGGCTGCTGAGTGCCTGCCCTCACCTTCCAGGGCACTGGGTTACAGATACAACTCACATCTCAAATTAGGCCTGGAATTCAGGCTGGAAGACAAAACTGGACCCAGTTTTCACTGCACACTGGAAAGAGGAGGCCCCTTGAGAATGTACACAACTGCTGCTGCACTTGCAGCCAGCTGCTGAACGAGGGAGGGAGGTGCCCCCACCACCTCCAGCCTCTCAGATCCCGGCCCGCCTGCTGGCCTCGCACATCGCCGCCTGCTGGCCACGCACCAGGAGCAAAGAGCCCACCACCCACCGAGCGTGGGGGAAGGGAAGGGTACCAACACTTGAAAAAAAAAGAAAAAGAAAACCGCCTCTAGCCATCTGTGCAACCCTCCTGTAAGTTCCTGCGCCTTAAATAGGGCTTTGCACAGCCCGTGATTCTTCTCGGGATGTCTTTCCCCTCCCCTGACCCGGGCCGGAGAGTCCCCTTCACCCCTGCGCTAACAGGTTTCTGTCCAGGCAAGGCACCCAGCAGCCCCCTAAACCTCCATCCGGGTTAGCAGCCAACTTTCCCTAATTTTATTCCTCAGACTGCGCTGCAGAAGGAAGGTGGGTACGCAGTGAGAGCCCGTGATGGCCTAGAGGAGGGCTCCCCAGGAGAGGGTGGAGGGAACTGGAGCGAAGGCGAGAATTGGCGAGCACCCCCTTTGCAGCGGCCTTCTCTCAGCCCCTCCTCTTTGCCCCGAGGAGAGACGTGGAGGAAACAGGACCCCTCTGCCCCCAGCACTGCCTCCAAAACCCTCCCCAGAACAAGGCATAAGAGCACTAACAAAGGGGACGCGACCCGGGGTCCAGGGCCCCAGGGAGGCAGCCGGACCCGAGTTGGGTCTTTACCTGAATCGCTCAGGGTGTCCTCTCCGGAGGTGCTGAGGGCCTTGTGGTCGCCGCTGCTGGTCTGGCGGCCGCCTGGGCGCAGAGGGGCGACCCCCGTGGCCCCTGCTGGGGCGGCGACACCCGCCCCCGAGGCGACCGTAGCGCCAGCCGCCGGGGCACCGGCCGGGGCTGCGGGCACAGGCGCCGGCTCGCGCTTGTTCACGGGGAAGGGGAAGACCACGGCGGGATCCACGCACTCGGCGGCCGGATGGGCGAGCTCGGCGGGCAGGGCGGCCCCGGCGCGCCCGGCTCCCGCAGCCCCGCCGTGCCCGCGACCCGCAGGGCTGGCGGCGCCCGCTCCCGGGGACTGCGCGGTGGAGCCCGCGGCCGGCGGCCCGCGGCCGTGCTGCAGCTTCTCGCTCACGGCGCGCTCCAGCTTCTCGCGGGCAGAGAAGCCGCTCCACATGCAGTCCTGGAGGATGACCGGGTTGGGCGTGAGGCCGCCCAGGCCCCCCAGGCCGAACGCGTCCTCCTCGGCCGGGCTGCCCCACAGCTCGTTCTCGAACAGCATCTCCGTGACCCAGCTCGGGGGCTCGGGGCTGTGCTCCGCGAAGCCACGGCTGGGCGACAGCGGGGGCGTGGGCAGCAGCTCAAACTTCTTCCAGATGTCCTCCCCCGGGGGGGTCGAGTCGGGGCCGCCGAAGTAGAAGTCATCTTCGTCCGGGTAGAAGCAAGGCTGCAGCGAGTCAAACTCGAGGTCTGGGTTCTTGCAGATCATACCCGGCATGGTGGACGCGGAGCAGCTCGGCATCGGCTCGCCTCCCGGCCGGCGACTGAGAGCTTCTTTCCGCCCCGCTCGTTTTAATACCGGGGGTGCTTCCTTCCCGTGGGGGGCGCGGAAGGCGGGGGCCGGCGCCGACCTCCAACACTGCAACCGACAGACACACCAGAGAGGGTGGGCAAACGGGGCAGACCAAGGGGATAGGCGACGGGCGCCCCCTCTAATCCTGCTCCCCAGTATCCCCTCCAAGCCCCCCACTCTGTCCACTGCTCCTGAAGGTGGAGGAAGTTATGCCTCTGGCTCTCTCCCTCCCTCCCTCCTTTTGTGTACAAGCTGTCTACGACAGGGGGTGGGAGGGGGCATGCAGATGCAGGGGGTGGTGGCGTGGCTCCGCAACTTTGGAAACTGCCATTTCATTCACACAGGCGCTGCCTGGGGGAGGGGGCTGCTCCGGGCTGCAGAATTCTAGTTCTCACCAGCACGCAGGCAACCCCACTCATAGCGGTGTCGGACCCGCTGCTCCGAGGAAGCCCCGAGCTCTCCGACCTAGCTACTGGGTATGGTATTTGGAGTACCTTCTACCCCTTTGTAAAAATGCAACCTCGGGAGTGCAAATCATAGCAGGGGATTTAGGAAACTTTGCAAATGAAGAAAAGCCTTTCTCTAGACAGAGACCAACAACAGACACCCAATATCCACAAATCCTTCTCCTCCCCAAATTTGAGCAAACGCCCCTCGGCATTCACCCGCTGCAGGAATACTCCTGCCAATAGATTATTTGGAACCTCTCTAAGCCCACCCCCGCTCTTCCAAGCCCCCAACAACGTCCTCTTCCAGGGTGGGGGAGGCTGAGCCCCTGTTCCCGGGAATGGTGCAGGGGCGCCCGCGCGGGGTGGGTCGCCTGGAGAACCGCCTCTCCTCCGAGCTGGAGCAGCCGTGACCCAGATTACCACCGCGGCGGCCTCGCCCCCACTAACACCCCCTTTCTTCCTCCAGGGGCACCCCTTAGAGAAGAACCCCAGCCTGGGGTGGGGACGCACCGGCTCTCCGACAGCTCAAACACAGACAGATCTTCTAGAGCAGGGGGAATTTCTTTTCGCAGAAGCCATTACTCCCCCCGGTAAGGGCTGCAAAAGGATTAGGGCGGGTCTCCTCTAACCAGGATGCCTTCCGGGCTGGAACTGGCTTTTCTGGGGAAACCCAGAGATGGTTTTGTTTCGGAAGCAGAAACAGTCCCCCGGGCATATTCGGGCGCCCGGTGCGCACGTCGCGATCCCGTCCAGGGCTTGCCTTGCCCCAGCGCTCGTCGCTCCCTGGGCGCCGGGCGGTTTGCAAGCCCTGCTTCTTACCTCCCGCCTACTGCAGGGGATCCGGAGGCGATTCTGCGCGGGTGTCTCCGGGTGGGCCGGGGGGGCGGGGGTGTCCTCGGGTGGCTACAGTCTGTGCGCGCTTGCGCCTGGCTAGCGCTTGCTCGGCTCCAACACAGTTCCCAGGAGCCCCCCGCATCCACCCAGCGCGTCCAGACAGATGACTGTCACTGCCTGCGCTTTGAAGCTCGGGGGATATTATTAACTGAAAAATCTGACACACCCGGGGGGCGGGGAGAGAAGGGGGCTGTGGCGCAGACAAGGGGGAGGGAGAAAGGAGAGGAAAGCGGCTTTACCCCGCCCTCCTGATTTCCATAAAAATCAGGGGAGGCGCCAAGGCTTTCGCGCCAAAAGCCACTTGCTTTTCTTTGCAGAGAGAGCAGGCTGCAAAGCTGGGAAGCCCGGGGTGTGCTCCTCCCGCCCTTTTGGACCCCCGGGCTTGCACCGGCTGCACTCTGAGAACCAGCTGCGCGCCGAGCGGTGCAATGCAGCACCCACCCTGCAGGCCTGGCAATTGCTTGTCATTAAAAGAAAAAAAAAATACGGAGGGCTCCGGGGGTGTGTGTTGGGGAGGGGAGACCGATGTTCTCACCCAGCCCCCGCTTTGACTGCGCGTTGTGCAGCTGAGCGCTAGGCCAACGCTGAGCAAGGCCTTGCAGAGAGGTCGCTCCCGTGTAATTCCGAAAGAAGGCTCGTCCGAAGGTGCAAAATAGCAGGGAGAGGACGCGCCCCCTTAGGAACGAGACCTCTGGATGTTTCTAGTTTCAGATTGAAAGGAGAGGGGCGCCCCCCTTGTTTGAAAATAAATAAATAAGTGCTAGCTACGAGGGTGGCGCCGCTGTGGTTTCTTCGGCCGAAGGCGACACCTCGCGGAGACGGAGCAGAAAGCGGAGCTGCCGGGCCTTGCCACCGACCTCCGCTCCACCCCGCAAGTCTCCCGCCGTCCCCGCGGGACTGGCCACGCGTCCTCACCACCGCGGAGAGGGCGGCGGCCTGGCTCCGCTTCCGAGGGGGAATGGGAGTACGTCCCCTGCCACCGTTGCCCGGGCTCACAAGTTAACCTTTTCAAAGCCACCCTCCCCAGTTATGGGCAGGCGGATCCGATTTACAGAGATGGAACTGCTGTCCCCACCTCCTGAGACCCAACCTCGGTTTAAAAAACTTGATTCCAGATTGTTGGGGGGGAAAAAGGAAAGCTGCCGTAACGTCATCGTTTCTTTGTGCCTCAGTTTCTTCAATTGTGAAATGGAGTTCGTAGTGGCGGTTACCTGAGAAAGCTCTTAGTCTCCAGCCCAGCAGGGAGAGGTGGCTCACGCCTGTAATCCTAGCACTTTGGGAGGCCGAGGCGGGAGGATCACCTGAGGTTGGGAGTTCAAGACCAACTTGACCAACATGGAGAAACCCTGTCTCTACTGAAAATACAAAATTTTACCCGGGGGTGGTGGCGCATGCCTGTAATCCCAGCTACTCCAGAGGCTGAGGCAGGAGACTCGCTTGAACCGGGGAAGTCTCCCGCCCATACTAGTTGTGTCAGCTATTATGATGATAATGACCACAACGTGGTATTCTTCCCGGTGAAATTAACACCCCTCTGTCCAGCAGCAGCATCGGCCCCTCCCTTCCCGCTACCATCAAATCTTGGCGTCACTCTGGCCTAGCTTTCTTACAGGTGCATTTGTTTGCGGGGTGAGGGGGGGTGTCAGACATTATTGCCCCTGCCCTCCAAACTCTCCAAGAACAACCCTGATCTCCTGGACCGCCTCCTTCACAACCAAATACACAGTGAGGTGGGATTTTGCCTTGAAAAACATTCCTTAGGCTTGTTTGGAGGCAGGGGATTGGGGATTGGGGTGGGAAAGCTTCCCCACGTTCCCCCACTTTTTTCTCCAAACTGGAAATGCCATTCCCCATCGCCCCCATCACTAGGACTCACCATTGGATCTAGTTAAGGTGGAGGATGCTTCTGGTCAGGGGGCAGCCCATAAAATGCTCACGGATTAGCATTTGTGAAGGCCTTCCCAGCCCTGACCCTGGATGCCCATGGAACTATAGGGAGAAAGACAGATTCCGAGTTCTAAGCAGCCCATGAATGCGGATGAGCTGTCCCTCCAGGCACCTTTATCATTGTTATTTCCTTCACAAATGTAAAAGGCTTCACCTTTGCAAAGGCCTTTTACAGCCCCACTACTGTTTTCCCCTAGCCCCCTAATTGCCACCGAGCCCTCCTGCTGAATTCTCGCCTGGCATGCTGTCCTTTCCTGCCGAGCACTCACCTCCATTTGTCATTATCTGTGCCTGGAATATCTGCTCAGTGCCCACTTCCGTGACACTCTGGAAGACAGGCTCAGTCTCCCTCGCTAACCTGTGACCTGGGTCAGTTTTACTCCCCTGGAGGGGATCCTTGGAGCACAGCAGCATACCTGTATGTAGTAAGTACTTGTGATCATTGTTCCAGATCACTGGATGAGTCCTACCAAGGTGTCCAGATCTTCCATGCCAGCACTGTGAAAATAGGCCAGGAGAGGTCCAGTTGCTCTGATTCAAAGTCTTACCCTTGTCCTTTCTCATCAGATGAACGACCATCACCAGGCCATTCACCCTTTGTCAAGGACAAGGTGTAGCAGAAAAAGGGGACAGAAGGACAGGAGACCTGGTTACCCTACATGCCTTTGAGCAAATCATTTATACTTCCTGGACCTCAATTTCCAATCTCCTGCTTTTAATGCAAGCCAGTAATTACTGACAAGTCTGAATCTGAAGGTTAACAGAATGATAAAATTCAACAGATATTTATTGGTTACCTTCATTTGTAAGTAGAAAAAGACTCTGTACGTGGAGAAAAAGTGCTAATGCTGATTCTTAGTCTGTTTGTAGAGAAGCCTGAAAATCCCTCTTAAAAGTGTTGAAATGCTTCAGCTACGTGAACACCCGCAAAACAAATCTTCAGATGGCTTCAAAGCCAAGGTTTTGTTCAGGACTGCTGTGGTTTGAATGTGTCCCCCCCAAGAAAACACATGTTGGAAATGTAATCCCCAGTGCAACCATGTTGGAAGGGATCTAGGTCCTAGCGAATCAAATGCCAGTGAGATCTAGACCCCAATCAGTGTCTAGGCTCTTGACAGCGTCAAGAGAATGAATTCAAAGACCAGTTGGAAAATAGTGAAAGTAGGATGTATTGCAAAGGGAAAAGTACACACTCAAGAAAAGGGAATGCAGGTCTAGTCAAGACATTGGGGGTTGGGGCTGCTACCTTTATGGGTTTCTTTAACCAAGAGGCAGGATATTCATGATCATTCTTAGAAAAAAAGTGGAGATGCCAGGCGTGGTGGCTCACGCCTGTAATCCCAGCACTTTGAGAGGCCGAGGCGGGTGGATCACGAGGTCAAGAGATCGAGACCATCCTGGTCAACATGGTGAAACCCCGTCTCTACTAAAAATACAAAAAATTAGCTGGGCATGGTGGCGCGTGCCTGTAATCCCAGCTACTCAGGAGGCTGAGGCAGGAGAATTGCCTGAACCCAGGAGGTGGAGGTTTCGGTGAGCCGAGATCGCGCCATTGCACTCCAGCCTGGGTAACAAGAGCGAAACTCTTGTTTCGTCTCAAAAAAAAAAAAAAAAAAGAAAAAAAGTGGAGATTTCTTAGAACTGTGATACCACCTATGTTTACACCAAATATGGATGTTCTCTGAACTGTCATAATGCTGGTGAGACATGTGATTTAGTATGTTAATGAGTATACGGTGAGGTCTTAGGAGGAACCTAGGTCAAATCGAATGCCATGTTGGGTTTGTGGGTCTTAGCCAACATGGTCCACACTCAGTTTTTCAGGGTCTTATCAGCCCATAGCCTCTGCAGCTATTTCAACAGTTTCCTTTTGCTAGTCATGTGGAATTGCTGCCCAGAATTTTCTGTTCTTCTGCAGCCACCTTGTATTATTCCTGTCTCAGGGCCTAACGGGAGGCGTTTAGGTCATGAGGGCTCCACTCTTGTGAATGGATTAATGCCAATTATAAAAGGGCTTGAGGCTTGGAGTTTGATCTCTTGCTCTCTCTTCCTTTTTCCTACCAGGGCATGGTACACCATGAAGGCCCTCAGCAGTTGCTGGCACCTTGATATTGGACTTCTCAGCCTCCAGAAACATGAGAAATACATTCCTTTTCTTTATAAATTATCCAGTCTGTGCTGTTACATTATAGCAACACAAAATGGACTGAGACAAGTACCCATCTACTGTATCTGAGCCCCTGGGTAGGTTCGGAACAGAGGTAAGTTAAGGCACAGCCTCAAGGAGCTCACTGTGGACCAGGGAAGGAGGCCCACATCTGAAGTGGATGCCTCAATCTAATGACCAACTGATAGGATAGAGTTAGATATAATGGGTTTGGTTTATAATTAAGGCGATTTTTGAGGGAGGATAATATTTTCATTTACGAATCTCCCCTGTACTAAGACACACACACACACACACACAAAACGAAACAACACACACATAAAGACATTGAGCAACAACCTCTAGATGGTTTTTCTAGATTGTGAATTAAAGACCTGCTGTGTTGGCCAGACATGGTGGCTCATGCCTGTAATCCCGGCACTTCAAGAATCTGAGGAGGGCAGATGGCTTGAGCCTAGCAGTTTGAGACCAGACTGGGCAACATGGTGAAACCCTGTCTCTACAAAAAAATATAAAAATTAGCTGGGCGTGGTCGTGCGTGCCTTTCGTCCCAGGTACTCGGGAGGCTGAGGCAGGAAGATCACCTGACCCCAGGGAGATCAAGGCTGCAGTGAGCCGTCATCACGCCACTGCACTCCATTCTGAGTGACAGAGTAAGATCTTGTCTCAAAAAAAAAAAAAAAAAAAAAAAATCTACTGCGTCTATCTTCAGGGACACAGCAGTTTCTCCTAGGATCTTCACACCCTTCTCCCTCAAAATGTATATATGCTTACTGATTACATAATTTTAAAATTCCCGGGATGGGTTGACTTTTCTTTCAGAAAACAGTAAAGCTAGCTCTCTCTGCCTAACCCAAATACAAAAAAAAAAAGAAGTGGGGTGTGGGAGTGCTGGATGTAAGAATTTTACTACCATAAAAACATGACAGGCCGGGCGCGGTGGCTCAAGCCTGTAATCCCAGCACTTTGGGAGGCCGAGGCGGGTGGATCACAAGGTCAAGAGATCGAGACCATCCTGGTCAACATGGTGAAACCCCATCTCTACTAAAAATACAAAAAATTAGCTGGGCATGGTGGTGCATGCCTGTAATCCCAGCTACTCAGGAGGCTGAGGCAGGAGAATTGCCTGAACCCAGGAGGGGGAGGTTGTGGTGAGCCGAGATCGCGCCATTGCACTCCAGCCTGGGTAACATGAGTGAAACTCCGTCTCAAAAAAAAAAAAAAAAAAAAAATGACAACAGTAATAAAAAATAATTGCCATATATATGAGCCAAAGATTATATCCCAGGTATACAAAGAGCTCCTACAAATTGAATAGAAAAAACAGCCAGGTAGAAATATGACTCTAAGATATGAGTAGGTAATTTACTGAATAAGAAATGCAAATTGTCAATAAACATATGAAAAGATGCTCAACTTCACCAGGACTCAGGGGCATGCAAATTAGATCTCAATGAGATTACCATTTTTGGGTCTAGCAGGTTGGCCCAAAACACTGGCCAGCCTGGGGGCGGGGCAGGGGCCTCAGATACACTGTTGCTGTGTCAGCCTCAAGAGGAAAAGCAATTCCACTCTTGAGAATCCATCCTACGAGAAGTAATAAGACAAACACATAAAAGCATACAAACAGGAATGTGTGTGGCTGCATCATTTTCAATAACAAAAATATTGTAAGCAATCTAAATATCCACAACAAAAACAAATTAAACCGGAGAATAGTATGTAAGATATCCGAGGCCGGGAGCAGTGGCTCACACCTTAATCCAAGCACTTTGGAGGCCAAGGTGGGCAGATCACCTGAGGTCGGGAGTTCAAGACCAGCCTGACCAACATGGTGAAATCCCGTCTTTATAAAAAAAAAATATATATATACATATATATATATATTAAAAAAAGATATCCATGCAGTGGAATAACATACACGTGTGTTAGATCAAAAGTTACACACTTGGGAAAGGTTCACGAGGGTGAAGGAAAATAAGCAAGGTGTTGGTCAATCTATCTGGTATTTTGGATATGTATGTACTTAGATATGTCGGCATCAACCCAGTAACAAATTGAGAAAAACGCGCACGAAATTGTTGTTGTTGTTGTTTTTTTTTTCCCCTGAGACCAAGTCTTGCAGTATTGCTTTGTCACCAGGCCAGAGTGCAGTGGTGAGATCTTGGCTCACTGCAACCTTTGACTCCCTGGTTGAAGCAATTCTCCTGCCTCAGCCTCCCAAGTAGCTGGGATTACAGGTACGCACCACCATGCCCAGCTAATTTTTTGTATTTTTAGTAGAGACAGGGTTTCACCATTTTGGCCAGGATGGTCTCCATCTAGTGATCTTGTGATCCACCTGCCCCGGCCTCCCAAAGTGCTGGGATTACAGGCATGAGCCCTTGCACCCGGCCCCCAAATTGTTAACAGTGGTTTACTTTGAAGAAGAGAATCAGGTGGGGGGAGAAACTTTCCTGTTGATATGCCTTTTTATTTATTTATTTATTTATTTATTTATTTTTGAGACGGAGCTTCACTCTGTCATCCAGGCTGGAGTGCAGTGGCGTGATCTTGGCTCACTGCAACCTCTGCCTCTTGGGTTCAAGTGATTCTTGTGCCACAGCCTCCCGAGTAGCTGGGATTACAAGTGCCTGACACTCGCTTTAGAGCCCAGGCTGGAGTGCAGTGGCACCGTCTCAGCTCACTGCAGCCTCCACCTCCCGGGTTCAAGTGATTCTCCTGCCTCGGCCTCTCAGGTAGCTGGGATTACAGGCACATACCACCACACCAGGCGAATTTTTGTATTTTTAGTAGAAACGGGTTTCACCATGTTGACCAGGCTGGTTTCGAACTCCTGACCTCAAGTGATCCCCCTGCCTTGGCCTCCCAAAGTGCTAGGATTACAGCATGAACCACTGAGCCTGGCCTATAACTTTTTTTTTTTTAAACAGTGGGGTTTTGAGCAAATTTAATTTCTTTATTTCTGTTATTTTTCAAAAATAATTTTGTTACTCCTCAGTAAAGTTAATTGTTTCAAGCAATGTACGGGACCCTTTTGTGAAGCCTAAAGTCACCCCCAAACTTCTCCTTTTTTTCCCAGGCTGATTGGCAATTTTTTCCCACCAAACTGCTACTGAACTGAGTCAGCTGAGAGTGGGTTCAAAGAGACCAAGATGGAGGAAAACGGGCACTGCTTTAATTAAGATTAGAATCAAGCCCATCAAAGCCATTTAACGTATATGATGTTGGATGTGCCCAAGGCAAAGTGCACAGTTTTTGACATCTGAGGCTGGAGGAGAGTTTCAGACCCACCATTGAGAGAGTTATGGATGTGGGAAATTTTGTTTGTAATGGCATAATTAGGTTTAAAATAAAAATTATCCTCATTTCATGCCAGTGATTTGATTACTGATTTAGAACATGGAAGTGTCCAGCAGACCCTGGACTGCCCTCACAGACGAATTTTGTATCCTTGGAGGCAGCTCAAAGATCCCCTCCACTGTGAAGCCTTCCCTCCAGCTTCGTGCATGACATATAAGATAGAGTGAATGAAAACGCACTGCAAACCGTGAAGAGAGACGGGGAATGGACGGTGATAGTGTTGGTGTGGAGTTGGAATTCTCATTTCCCTTAGTTTCCTTATGCTAAAAGTCAAAATAGGAAAAGTGTCCCTGGAGGCAGCTGCTCAGGGTCAGGCTCTGCAGGAATGGAGTTTGGGGGAAAATAGGTTTCCCTTGTGAACCTCAAACTTGAAACTGTCAGTGCACCGAAATGGCTCACAATTAGGGAATCCTCATCTTAGTAGGAACATGTAAGGTGTACAATGAATTCTGATGCCAGATCTGGCCTTTGAGTCCCTTTGGCTCTGCCCCTTGTAACAGGCAGGCTCTTTACCAAGGAGAGGGGTCTCCTTTTTCTGGGATTACTTTCCAGATACAATAACGTGCTTTGGGTGTGTCCAGCTCACCTCCAGCTGTGCTGCAGTTTTCATATCTTCTCAGGTGATTACTTGGTAGATGACTGATCTCACCCATAGATTCTTGCTAATTTCATTTTCCTGTAATGCTGGATACATTCCTGCAGCCCCATGGATGGCCTTGGCCACCTCAATATCTGAATGAAATTGTTAGAATCTGCCTGCTGCCCCTTTCAGCTTCCTTGGACTCAGCTAACAATCACTGATAAATATCAGTGATTCTATCTGCTTATTTCCAGAAGCTGCTACTTCTGACCTAGAAAGCCTTTTCCTTTTGTTTCTGCTTATTCAAATTCTTTCCTCTATGTTCAGCTGGAGACTGTCCTGGAAGGAATCTCGTCCTCCTTTCCCCTAACCCTACTCATCCCCTGCCCCAAATCTCTATTAATCTTATACTGCCTGATGCCAGCACCAGGGTTCTTTTTTTTTTTTTTTTTTCCCTTCTTGTCGCCCGGGCTGGAGTGCAATGGTGCAATCTCTCCTCACTGCAATCTCCGCCTCCTGGGTTCAAGCGATTCTCCTGCCTCAGCCTCCTGAGTAGCTGGGATTACCAACGCATGCCACCATGCCCGGCTAATTTTTGTATTTTTAGTAGAGACAGGGTTTTGCCATGTTGGTCAGGCTGGTCTTGAACTCCTGATATCAGGTGATCCTCCTGACTCTGCCTCCCAAAGTGTCAGGATTACAGGCGTGAGCCACTGTGCCCAGCTACAGGGATTCTTTATCAGATTCATGTATGTGTGTGGCTCCCCTAACAGGATGAGCAGTTTCTGAGTGCAGGACCCTTTCCCATGTGGCCTTTACATCTTCTACAGCATCTGCTGCAGTGAATGCTGGAAAGAACAGCTCTGACACCAGACAGGCCAGCGAGTTCTGCTATCTTGGACATTCCAAGTTTTCTGAGCCTTCTGAGCCTGACTTCCTTCCTTCCTTCCTTCTTTCCTTCCTTCCTTCCTTCCTTCCTCTTTCCATCTTCCTCCCTCCCTCCCTCCCTCCCTCCCTCCCTTCCTTCCTTCCTTCCTTCCTTCCTTCCTTTCTCTTTCTTGACAGAATCTCCCTCTGTTGCCCAGGCTGGAGTGCAGTGGCACCATCTCAGCTCACTGCAACCCCCACTCCTGGGTTCAAGCGATTCTTGTGCCTCAGCCTCCTGAGTAGCTGGGATTACAGGCTCAAGCCACCACACCTAGCTATTGTTTTTTGGCTTCACCCTGTTTGCTAGGCTGGTCTCAAACTCCTAGCCTCAAGTGATCCACCCCCCTGAGCCTCCTAAAGTGCTGGGATTACAAGCATGAGCCACTGCGACCGGCTGTTTCTTCCTCTTCCTATTAGAATCATGTGAGGATTACATGAAGTAGCTGTCTGGCTTATAATGGATGTCCAGTAAAGGTTAATTCCCTCCCTGCCCTCCTGCAGTGGCTCAGTGGATCCCGCAGCAATAGACCACAACATGTGAGTCCTGGGGGAGCCTGCCGAAGATGGCTCTTTATTTTAATGGGGCTGGTGAATCATTCTTTTTCTTTGTTTGTTTTGTTTTTCAGAGACGGAGTCTTGCTCTGTCGTCTAGGTTGGAGTGCAGTGATGCGATCTCGGCTCACTGCAACCTCCGCCTCCAGGGTTCAAGCAATTCGCCTCAGTCTCCCGAGTAGCTGGAACTACATACAGGTGCACGCTGCCACACCCGGCTACTTTTATGTATTTTAGTAGAGACAAGGTTTCACTGTGTTGCCCAGGCTAGTCTCGAACTCCTGAGCTCACACAATCCACCCGCCTCGGCCTCCCAAAGTGCTAGGATTACAGGAGTACGCCACCACGCTTGGCCCTGAATCATTCTTTCTTCAATTGGAATCTCTCTAGGCCACTCCCCTTTGATCTTCTTGGCTCGTCCATAAACAAGTAACTTTAGGCTTGAAAGAAGGAACTGCAGAGTGAAGGTAGTATAAGGTAGTCCTAGTAAGAGCACAGGGTCGCCTGGGAGAGGACTGGAGTTCTTCGAGCTTAGAATTGTGTCTTACTTGTTGAGGAATTTTAGATTGGTCAATTAACTTCTCCTGGTTCACAGAATGGGAATAGTGAGCCCATCCCTGCTTTTATTCCACAAGGGAAAGGTATCTGTAGGGCAGTGGGCTTAGATTCAGAAATCAAATTTAATGACCTGGTTCTATCATTTCTATATGATCTCAGGCACGTCCATTTCCATCAGCCTCAGTTTTCTTATCTACAAATAGGGATAATAACATTCTTTTTACTGCAACAGAGAAGATAAAAAATCTAGAATCAAAATGGGACCCTGTATGTTACCTTGCTTTATATTATGAGCTCAAAGAAATTGTAGAGGAAAAGGGCTTTATTCTGTGGGGCAGGGGCTTGAAAAAATGGTAAAACCTCTACACACGAACAGTATGGGATCCTGATGAAGTTCCTAAAACAGGGCTGTTTGGGATGGACACTTTTGAATCCTCTTACAATGCTTATAATGGTCATATTTCCTGGTAAGTGGTATCAAATCCAAAAACCTGTCAAAGGGACAGATGGCATTCTTAGCACAAAAGAGGAAACCAATTAGAAGTTAAAATACAGAAAAATGTGAACTTGTACATGCTAGCAAATTGTTTCAGCGTGGAGGGCTATG